CTCAAAAATAAGTAAACGTTAAAAAAAAAAAATGTTAACTTTGGTGTTTCATGTATTTTTTTTAGCTGCTTTACTTTTTTTGTTGTTGTTTTTAATAATGCAAGACATATATAAATTAAGCTTTTTGACACATTTTCCCCCCTACAAGTAGAGCTGCTGAGGGATGGGTAGCCCAGCAGGACAGACAGAGCTCTGCCCTCGAGGGATCTCAGTCTGTGAGAGCGAGCCTGTTCAGGCGAGAGGAGACATCCATTCACGATGGATCCAACCTCTCAACAGAAAAACCAGAACCACAAAGCCTCCAGAGGAAAACAAAGGAAAATATCTTTGCAATCTTTGAGATTTTAGGACACAACACCCACTAAAAGGAAAACAAGACGAGACAGCAGCCTCGCGTAGTCCAAGAGCCCACATCCCCAGCTCACAAACAGCTGGGCTCAGACCACAGCTCTGACACTTAGCCGCTGTGTGACGTTGGACAAATTGCTTAATGTCTCTGGGCCCCAGTTTCTTCCAGGCTAAAATGGAGTCTTTATAGCACTTGCCTCATTAGGTTGACGTGAGACCCAGATGATACAAAGCAGAGGTCAGCAAGGGACAGCCCGAGGGCCGAATCCAACCAACCTCGTTTCTGTGCGTAAAGTTGTGTGGGAACCCTGTGGTGGTTTCACACCACGGTGGCAAGGTTGAGTGGTCAAGTTGAGACCCCAGAGGCTGCAAGCCCTAAAATATTTACCATCTGGCCTTTCTACAGAAGAGGTTTGCAGGCCCCTGATACAATATGTTCAGTACTGATAAAGAATCGGTAAAGGGGGCTGCCTGTAGTCACCACAAACTGTGAAAACACGCATCTCGGTAAAGCTTGGGAAAAACTGTGAAAACAAGTGGTCCACGTACCCAGGGCAGATGCTGGCAAACACATCAGTGAGCCACTGTTTCCTCCCACGTCGGAGGGAGGGTACAAGGGCACAGGCCACAAGCCCCTTCTGTTTCCTGAATGTCACGCCCCACTCTGGGTTCCTGGCAGGTACCCCATCCACACTCCGAGGGAAGGCTGTTATGGGGACAAGGATGAGTTTCCGGGCGTGAGGACATACGGCATCCGAGACACCAATGAGACCTATGATGTGTACTGCTTCGCTGAAGACATGGAAGGTGAGGCCCCACCCCCGTCCCCAAAGCCCCTGCCGGTGCCCTTCTCCCCACTGACACTCGGGATCACACGGGCCTCCTCTGGGGCAGGGCTCTAGCCCAGCTGCAGCCCGTACGCAACCCCTCTGCCATGCACAGGGAGAATGGGAAGGAGGGAAAGGGCCTGCAGGCCGCTCACTGTCCACTTGGGAAAGGGCCTCAGGGGCCCCAGGCACCTGCCAAATGTTTGGCACCACTCCTGGGCCCGAGAATGCTTGTCTCTGCCTCTCCCCTGGGACCGCCCCTCGCAGCCAGGATGCCCCACCGCTCAGTGCTCGGACCAGCCCGTCACCGTCCCAAGGTCCACTGCACCAGCCCAGCCCAGCCCCCCTCACCAAGGACACCCCAGGCTGCTCCAGGGTGGGCCGAACAGAAACGTAGTTCCCAGGAGAGCTGGCTGCCCCCCACCCTCTCTCGGCTTCCCCGCTGCCGGCCCCCAGCCCCATCCAGGCAGTCTCCGTGGACTGGTTCTGGAGGGCCCTGGAGGATAGTGAGAAGGGACCTGGAGTCTTTCTCTGCTTTGTAGAGGGTGCTGGTTTTGGTCCCAGTCAGAGCTTCCCAAGTTACCCAGGCATGTGGATGACAGTTCTTCTCCCATCTGTACCCATCACCCCTTTGGACATTCCAGACCGCAGCCACTGCCCCCAGCCCCAGCCCCAGCCCAGCTCGCAGCTTCTCCCAGGAAAAGACCTGACAACCTGACTCATTGGAGGCAGGGACAGTCCCCCGCTTTCTCACCTCTGTGCTCCTTTTCCTCATTCTCATGCCTGGGCCCAAAGCCTATTAAGGAACAAGCAGCTGTGTCCCCATTCTTGGGCACTGCCCATCAGAGCTGCCCCTGAACAGGGCCAGCCAGCACCTTCCCCGAGAACAGGTGCCCACCACGCACCCCTAACCCCCCTCACATAACTTTCTTAGGTTTTTGCAAATAGTAAAAAGAGCTCAGAAGCCCCCACTAATGCCCTTATAGATGCTGCAGGCTAGAGACCCCAGTTTGAGAACCACTGCCCTAAGGGTCAGAGTTCAATGCCTGCTCGTCCCGTCAGAATGGGAAGTTTTGTAAAGGATTGCTTGCATGGGCAATGCTTAACTCGTAGGAGAGATGCCCCGGGAGGAGGATGTTCCACAACAGAGTGCGTGCAAGGATGATTTGGAGCAGGATTTGGGATCCTAGCAGCCACGTGGATTGGCCGGGGATGCAGGGCAGGAGCGGGGAGGGGGATCCTCACTCCGCCGGCCCCGTCCTTCGCAGGCGAGGTCTTCTATGCGACATCTCCGGAGAAGTTCACCTTCCAGGAGGCAGCCAATGAGTGTCGGCGGCTGGGCGCCCGGCTGGCCACCACGGGCCAGCTCTACCTGGCCTGGCAGAGCGGCATGGACATGTGCAGTGCTGGCTGGCTGGCCGACCGCAGTGTGCGCTATCCCATCTCCAAAGCCCGGCCCAACTGCGGGGGCAACCTGCTGGGCGTGAGGACTGTCTACCTGCATGCCAACCAGACGGGCTACCCTGACCCCTCATCCCGCTACGATGCCATCTGCTACACAGGTGG